TCCTTCCTTCCTTCCTTCCTTCTTTCCTTCCTTCCGTCGTTATTTGATCTTTCGTTCGTTCGTTCGCTCGTTCGTTCGTTACGTTCATTCATTCTTTGTTTCGCCTATTCGTTTCCTTGAAAGCATCTCATGAATATATATATTCCATCACCCACAGGAAGTGGTACCATGGACTTCACAGAATTCCTCGTCGTCATGTCTAAAATGAAAAACAATGACAATACAGACAAAGAGCTTTACGAGGCCTTCTGTGTGTTTGACAAAGACGGCAATGGCTTCATCAGTCCAGACGAAATGAATATGATCTTTAGCAATCTTGGAACTGCAAACATTCCACACGATGACCTTGAAGAGTTGATGGAAGAGGCCGATATTGATGGCGACGGGCAAATAAATTACGAAGGTTTGTTGTTCATGTTGATACTCTAAAACTTACTGCGCATGATCAAAATTCTTCATGGAATATATATATATTCACATCACTGCTATGCTATTTTCTTGGCAGTCATCTATTACCAAAAACTCTCTCAATTTCAGGCTGCATGCGCCCTAAAAGCTTTTATTTTGGTTGATTTTGGCAAAATATTTGGCATTGAAGACTTTTCAGGGAGTAACAGCGAGAGTCCCTTAAGGGGATTGAACCCATATTGATCCCCTATATGCAGATAAACTAAGTTTGTGGCCTATATGTTTAACGTCTCTGAAAGACAGGGACAAGAGCGCTATTTTACGTGGTCATCCTGGCCACGGCGAAGGTCTAACAAGCTAGCATTTTTTTTTAAAAGAGCAAGGGTAGCACCTTAATTCTCAGATATTTTAAGAACCTGAGAGTTGGTCCAGCCCAAACTTAAATATTCAAACCCCGACCTCTCACACAACGGACCGGTGCTCTACCAATTTAGCCCACCGGGAGTCGGTTTACAAAGTTTAGTTAAACCTTAAATCATTTTCTTCAATGTTACGTATAACGCTCTCTTTTATTTTTGATAGAGTTTTACAAGATGATGGTGAAGCTCCGCTAGATCGCTCATTCAGACCACCTAAGAAATTTGCACATACACTCAACACATACACTCACACCTAAACACATGACCTAAACGAGTATTAATTAAAAACCTTTCTTCATCATTCCGATTGATATTTATTTTCTACTTGAAGATAAGTATAAGGAATAAGCAACTCACCTTCAGACTATTACGCATGCTCAGAAATTTGGCGGGAGACGTGTAAAGCAACCTTTCCTCGAAAAAAAGCCATAATCCAGACGATGCTGAAGGAACTGAGTAATTTAATTAAATGTCAGAAATCTAGGAAAGAGGAGGGGAGGGGACTGGGGCTATCGAACTTCACTTCACAAAGCACACGGAATTTAAATAAAAGATCATTGTAAAAGACAACACCTGATTTACACTAATATACTCACTAATAAACATAAAAAGAAAAATATGTTTACCACATTTGATCGACTTATATACTCACTAATAAATATAAAAAGAAAAAAAATGTTTACCACATTTGATCGACTGCAGCTAACGATAGACTTTGAAGCTCCCCGCTGGACAATTAGATCCAGTCCGCTTGTTTCATAAATTCTAATTTCGATGTAAAAACAAGTTGGCAGTAAATATGAACCAGATCCACTTGGGCATGATGCTTTGCCCATTTCGTATCACATGTCATTCACTAGAGAATAAGATTCTATGTTTGAGTTGTATCCATATTCATTTGGCTTCTCATGAGCAACTGCAGTTAAATAAGAATGAAAACTCTAGAGAATAACACGTGGTCTGAAATTGGAAAACATTGGATTAGGTCTACCACACTCCTAACAGTGTCCTATGCAATGCTATGTAAATGCTGAATAATTCATYCAAAATCAAATTATGCAGCATTTGACGTGTGGTTTGCATCTATAAAAACCGCTGAAAATTGTCAAACACGGGAGGGGGGTTAATTGATTTCTTCTGAATATTCTTCCTCATTCGCCGGAAGTTGAAACGTTTTGTTTTTATTATAATTCAGCATTTAACTAGTTTTCCTACCGCAACAACTGTTGTAAATTGCTAAATTATCGACCATATTCAAAGTCACTGCCAAGTCGAAACATTTATTAACATTAAGCAGTATTTGACTACCTTTTCTACCGCAACAACTGTCGTAAATTGCTAAATTATCGACCAAAGTCACTGCCAAGTCGAAACATTTATTAAAATTAAGCAGCATTGTACTAGTTTTCAACCATAAAACCGCTGTATAGAGGTTTGTGAAACTGAAGGATTCAAATATCTTTGAATTTTCGTCCTTATTCCGAGTTAAAGCGCTATTTTCTTTTTGTATACTTATGCAGCGTTCAAATGTTGTTTTTTTTTTCCTTTATATTACAACTTCTGAAATTTGTGACAAATTGAAGGTTTCAAAATATCTTTGAACTTCCTCCTCATTCAAAGTTGAAAATGAAATTTTGCATCATTTAACTGGTTTGTTTACATTCCTAACTGAAATACTAAATAAATATGCTGATAGAAATTGAAGGATTCGAAATATCGTTGAATTTTCGTCCTCATTCCAATTACTGCAGCAATTAACTGGTTTTCATCTGTAACGATTCATAAAAATGGAAATACAGATTAAATGACTTAAAATGTCGTTCTTTGCTGTACGCRTTAATTTTCTTTGCTTACGTTTGTTTCATGACTTTAACTTCCTGTGAGTTAATTATAACCTCTCTATTCGTACACAGCTTGTGTTATCTTAAAAGACCCAATGGCTGCAAACTTCACATTTCATTGTCTCGACTTCAAAATCTTTTAGCATTAATAATTTGTATTTCTAATGATTTAATCTTTCCTATCGACCAAATACCTCAGTACTATCAGGAACTTGATCATCGACATACTGGAGCTCACAGGCTTGTAACAAAAATGGTAAGTTTCATAAATTAACATATTAGCTTGCTGTAAAAAAAAAAAAAAAAAAAGCTAAATGACAAGCATTACGATTATCTGGTGCAATTTCCGTGCAATTAACGTTTAATTTCGCGTGTTTTCTGTGTATTTTCTGTCCTTTTTCGTTGCAAACTATCAAAAATCGCTCGAAAAAAAGAAGTAAATATTCATTACAATACCTAGAAGCTGTCTAGTTTTATGGCAACTTTATACCAAATGTAACCTGACTTGACGTTTTTTTTTTTTTACGTTTTTATTTACTTAAATGTTCTTCATAATTCAAGGTTTTGAAAATCATCATTTACAGTTCTGCTAAAATTATGTTATTAATTGATAATGATTTGTAAGCAAAAAACTGAGTATTGAGTATCGAGTTGAATAGTATAAATTTGACTTCAAATCTTTCGCTTGTTTTTGTTGAACAACTGAGCTGGCGTCAGTAGAGATAAACTTTAACTTCAAGATAATAAACATCTGGATTGAGAAGATTCATATACGTCTCGCGTACTAACCAAATTAACACAAATAAAAACTCATATAATTTAACTATTTATTCCGACTCAATAGCTGCCGAAATACAAATGTAAAGAAATATCTAAACCTTATAATTGAGCTAGTTCTACAACAAGAATTTAGCTATGTATTTGAACGGTTGAAAATAAAGAAAAATAACTCAAAGCAATAGAGGCAAACTATTAGAAAGAACATTTTCTAGAAAGTTGTTTTGAATATGAAATTTTTTCTCGATACTTCTTTATGAACCTCAAAAATTAAACCAAAAAGATTGCCTTTATTAGCTTTGCGTGATATAGTTTTCGTTTTTAATTATTTCAGGATTTTCTATACCTTAGTTGATTGGAAAAATATAACTGTCCACTAATAAAACAAATTAATATGAATGATTTTCTGCTAATCATGGACTTCAAAAATAATTACATTTCCRATCATATTCTACGCTCAATTTCTGGAGTGTAGAATAACGTTTTATTCAAATGTTTTGGACTTTGACGATCAATAAATAATTAAATATACTTTAAAAGATTTTTTTCGAGTTTGTATATATCGGCCAAAGATTTGCCTTATCTTACCATATTCTTGCTTTACAAATTGTTTCTCCTGAATTTTTTTATCTTATATATAAATGAATAAAAGTTTTTTCAGTAAAACTGATCTTTATGTAGATCAATCACCGGATCGAGCGTGTTCGCGATCATCSGTATCGTTATCGTTACAATGGCGATAAGGTATCGAATAATGTAATCAAAACTATTATAGTCAGCTTTGAGGTGTCACTAAGCATATTGCGCGCGCATCTCGGGATATCGGCGCGGGGAAATTCATTGGCGGACGCGTTTCACGTTGTTTTTTGATTTGATTTCTTCTTGTTTACCATCTTCTTCTTCATTTTCTTCTTTACTTTCTTCTCCATTCTCTTCTTTCTTCTTCTTTTACAAATACTACTATATATATCGGATAAACAACTGTTCATAAAATGTTTGAAAACTAGACATATCAAGGCTATTAATTCAGCTACATATTAAAATTACTCCAAATCCTTATAATTTTTCACAATTCTATCCCCCTGTAAACCATCTGTGAGCTCATATATAGTGAACAACTGGGCAATTGTTCAGTATCTTGGCTACAATGCTATGGTATACTTAATCAGATGCTTTAGTGTTGTTTTTGTTTCTTTAATTAAAGGCAGAAGAGTTGAATGAAGAACAAATTGCAGGTATGAAGCTGTCATTTGGCATCATGAATACCTATTGTTTGCATGTTAACAAGCAATGCACAAGACTGAGTTTGTATTCCTTGGGCACAATGTCTTTCCCATTTCAGACGCACCCCTTATCATTCTTTTGCCCAATGTACCAATCAGATGTACCTGATGATATGCACACCAACAATATTTGTACAATCCATCTTTATCAACCTGCTCATTCACTCATTCATCCATCCATCCATCCATCCATCCATCCATCCATCCATCCATCCATCCACCCTTCTTTTTTCCAATTTCAACTGTCTTACTGTCTCTTGCTTTCTGTCTCGCTCCTGTCAGCACCAGAGGAAAACTCTGAACCCAGGCCTCTCGTCACATCTCTATTGGAAGCCGGTAAACTATAGGCACATAAAAATATAATTAAATTAAATTAATCAGTGTCCGTTATTTTGTTGTTGTCGTCGTCGTCGTTGTTGTTGTTGTTGTTGTTGTTGTTGTTGTACGTTGTTGTTACTCAACATAATATGCACTGTGCATGCTCTTCTTTGTAACAATGCATATGGAAATATATCATTTCTTTGTTTAAACGATATACACCTATTTTTAAAAACGTCGTTTGGAGATTTGAAATCTGAGACCGAAAGGAATTGTGGGTCGTAAGCTGTGAATTGTTTTTTAATTAGTAGTTCGCAAAAGTTATCATCTTGATATACTAACTTTGAACGATGACCTGGTAATGAAAAGTGAATTGATGAAATAAGTACTCTTTAGTCTAAAAAGTTGAATTCTTTTGTTAGATCCATTCTGCTCTCTTTTTTTGTGTAGAATTCAAGGAGGCTTTCTCCCTTTTCGACAAGGATGGTGATGGCACCATTACCACCAAAGAGTTGGGCACAGTTATGAGGTCTCTTGGACAGAACCCTACTGAAGTTGAGCTACAGGACATGATCAATGAAGTTGATGCAGACGGTGAGTAGTATTGAGCATTGAATATTCGATTTTAAATTATTTTGTATGTTAAAAAATATCAGATAGACGTGTATGTAATATGATCCTTATGTAAGGGAATCCAGAATAGATTACTGTAGTAATATTAGAGTGAACTTTGATTTTGGTCCATTTTTATGTAGCAGCTTGGGCTTTTTTTTTTTTTTTTTTTTTTTTTTTTTTTTTTTTTTTTTTTTTTTTTTTTTTTATTTTTCTAACCACTTGTTATTCTCTTGAGAATAAGATTCTTTGTTTGAGTCGTATCCATATTCATGTCTCTTCTCATTAGCATCAGGTAAATAAAGAAACTATACTCTAGGGAATGACACGTTGTCTGAAATCGAAAAGCATTGTCTTTCTTTCTTTCTACAGATAATGGAACAATAGACTTTCCCGAGTTTCTCGCCATGATGGCCAAGAAAATGAAGGACACAGACAGTGAAGAGGAAATCCGTGAAGCCTTCCGTGTATTCGATAAAGATGGCAATGGTTTTATCAGCGCTGCTGAACTCCGACACGTCATGACCAATCTTGGAGAGAAGCTCACCGATGAGGAAGTCGATGAGATGATCCGAGAAGCTGACATTGATGGTGATGGACAAGTCAATTATGATGGTATTTTCTTGGTATTTGCTTAATAACAAAAAAGAATTAATGATAGTATTTTTTTAATCACTTGCATATGACTTAGGAGAGCGCAAACTAGGGATGCGAACCCCCCCCCCCCCCGGGGGGGGGGGGTACTACCACCCCAACTTGAGTATCGGTGTGCCGCCAGGACCTCAAAACCCTGACCCTATCCCAGACCTAAAATTTTGATTTTACATACCCCACCCCAGACTAAAACTAAGAATTGTACACCCTATCCCAGACTAAAAGACGGAAAATACGGTTTTACAATCGATTGCAATCAATATTTACTAACATTTTTATTGTTTTTGTGTCGGCAGAAAGCGTAGTAAAATGATACCCTATCCCAGACAAAATGTCAAAAAATGATACCCTACCCCAGACCCAAAAGCCGAAAAACCATGCCCTATAGGGCGGCACATACCCGTATAGCAAATATAGGGGAGTACCCCC